TGACATGAACCGCTTCGTATCTTTTGAATTACTTCAAGGTTATTTTGCTATTTTCTTCATTTAATACTAAAGATAGTCCGTACCATGGTGCTATGCTCTAGAAAAATTACTTTTGAAGATATATTTCTAAGCAATTCTATTGTGTATAGAAGTATACGTTTTATTGATGAAGTTTAATTACACAACGTCATTCAAATCATGTATGTCGTTGTGTAAACATAGCCTACTTCATCAATACGTTTTAGTGCAGATGATTGTTCTGTTGGCCTCAATACTTTTTAAAGTTTCTTAACAACTAGTTTCTTAAAATATGTACTTAACCGCAATCTACATCATTTCTGGTCCGCTTCACTGCCAGAGGGCTTTCCAAATCTTTTCCAACAGGTCATGAAACAGTTTAGTATTCTTTAAATTAATTCAAGGCTATTTCCTTCATTTAGGTATACATTTACGTAAGCTTTGTACCAGGGTACGATGCACTACAAATACTTTGCAACATACTTTAGGGCCTGAATTTTGTGTAGGTGAATAAGTTGTTTGGAAGCGAAGTACGGCGGTTTGAAAGTTGGTGAATTTAAATACGTTTCTCGTAGAATGGCCTTCATAAAATTACTAAATTTTAGGGTTTAGAGTTGAAATATTGAACCCAAACTTTAAAAATAGTAAGATTAAACGGTAATACTTTATATTTATGATATAATCACATTTTGCTCAAATTTCATGTTATACTGTCTATTGGCCCTTTTTCTCGAAACCTGTTGATGCGAGTTTACAGCCCTTTTGTGGTCTTGGGTCACAATTATCATATCAACTCTAGCCCTACCATGGTTGGTAAACAACTTGTTTGGCGCCTATGAATGTCTGGAAACAGATGCTGGCAACCTATACAGCCGCTTTCCCTTCCCCTCGAGGGGCAGCCACAATATATAAAGTTAGCATGGATGAAAGTCTATGTTGGAAATATGGCACCTCTGGATGCCATGAAATAGCAGCTGGTAAAGCTGTAGAAAATAATATTATTAAAAATTGTATTTCTCATCATTGCCATAAGTAGATAAATTGAGTTGCTTATTCCTCCAGAAGATCAAGAAACATGAATACATACTAATGCATAAACCAAAAATGAATACAACATACTGTAATTGTATTTTGTGGAGGGTATTCAGCTATGAAAAATATACAGAATATGCAATAATTAAAACACATGATACTATTTGCCACACAAATGGACCTGCAGCCTACATGTTATGAACATTAGGCCTACTACTCGTACAATTTTAATTATTCTTGCAAAGTTCAGCATGGAACATTAATAAGTTATTGATCACGCCTTAGAAGTTATATACTATCACTAGAATTGTAAAAAAAAAAAGTTAAGTGCTGTGTCCCAAAACTAACTTAGTTTTAGCCTAGAGAGTCTAGGTAAAAGGCCTACACGATTATTTACCAGACTAACACGGTCCTATCATTTAAATCTACATTCTTCGATCAATAAATACAGAGAAATACATGGCAACGATGTTTATTTTGAACAAAATACTCACGATTGTTTAATATTCAATTGACTGACAGAAAGAGGTTTTTGTTCCATCGGAAGTTTTCATTTCGTTCAATTCCTCCCTCCACCAAAAATCCTTAAAAAAATAAGTATGCGAAACAATGAATAAAAAAAAAGTCTTGCCTTAACCAAAGAGTATAAATAGAACAAAAGAGAGCCAACAACGCTCATTTTGTCTGTTTATCTGTTCTCCACAAGATATAGTCCGGCAGCTTAGCAAATGGATGTGGACGTTCCGGACAAAAGCACCAATTTTTTTTTCACATGCTTCTTATGGTCATAGCATTCAATTTTTGGTAGGAACCACCTCATCCGAGGTCATTATGGCGGCCATCTTGGATTTCAAAATGGCCGCCTAATAAAACCTATGTTTATCTATATCTTCGCTTCTATACACATCT